AAAATAATATGAAAAGGAATATATATATATATATATATATATAAAACTGAATCACTATGCTGTACACTGAAAATTAATACAATGTTGTAAACCAACTATACTTCAATTAAAAAAACAAAAAACAAGAACACAATAGGCCACCCAAACAAGAAGTGCATCATTTTAATTTGTCGACCAAAAAAACAAAGAACAAAAAGCAAAACCAAAGACACACAAGAACCGCGTTGGAGAAAATGGTTATATTTGTTTTCTTGATTGTTGTCATGCTTTCAAGAATGTATATATGTGTCAAAATTTGTCAAATTGTACACTTTAAATATGTGACATTTACTGTCAGTTTTACCTCAGTGAAGCTGTAATTCCAAATCAAAAAAATAGATAATAAGATAGGAGCCCTTTATGCTCTTAGTTTTTCTTATCACTATCAAAAAAAAAAGATTATCATCGGTTACTTTTCATCCAGAGTCAGTGAGTGGATGGAATTGATTGAAGGTGGTGGGGGAACAGCACTGAGTGGAACTGGGACCATTTCAGTTTATTTGGAGGTTTGGTCAAGTCCACTGTCTTGGCTAAGGACATAATTCTCTGCTGTGATGACCAGAGAGCGGTGACAGTGAGTGAATGCTGCTTCTGTTTCTTTTCAGTTAAAGACAGTGCAGGAAGCTCTGAACATCCTGTGTCCCTTTGGACCCATAAAAAGCATTTATCCATTAACATTCGTCCAGGTGAAACAGGTAAGTCTTCAAAGATCATGCTTCCTCCTTTTTTCTACTTGAGAAACGCACTTTGCGCTCTGCCTTGCCGTGCCTGTTCTGAATGCAGGGACCAAAACGGTAAGCAGATAAGTCAGACCCCACGTACGTAACCATGGGACTCCAGGCTCTAAGTACTGCACAGTGGGCTGATCTTTCCTATATTGCTCGCCGCCTCCGTTTCTTATTATCACTCAGAGTGGGAGGAGCTCAACCTGCTTCAACATAAGGCTGTACAAGTGATAAATTGAGTGTATTGTTGACATAATCTTTATTACTAGGTATCAGAGGAAAACCACTATTTTCATGCTCAAAAAAGACAATTATTTGGGACTATGTTCTTAATAGATTAGGTTCTTAGAGATTCTTCTTTTTTTTTTTAATTAGGAGTTAAAAAATTTTTTTTCAGGGTGAGTGGTAATTAGGTCTTTATTTATTTATTTATAATGGAGGGACTAGGGACTGAACCCAGGAGCTCATGTGGGCTAAGCATGTGCTCTACAACTGAGCTATACCCTCCTCCCTCTTAGAGATTCTTTTTCCTGCTTTTGAAGAGAACAAGAACAGAATACATTGTGTGTGGGTGTGTGTGTGTGTGTTTAATCTCCAGGCACTGCCCCATCTTTGTTGTAAAAAATTTCCCCACCTTTTTATTTTGGAAAATTTCAAATCTAAAAAAAGTTGCAGGAAGACACAACAAACACCCGTGGAGCTTTCATCTAGATTTACCAAGTGTTAACAGTCACTTCACTTGCTTCATCTTTCTCTGTGTATGTAGGCAGTCAACCCCCTCTTTTTTTTTTTAAACCATCTGAGTTAGTTGTCAACATCATGACACTTCACCTCTAAATATTATAGCCTGTATCTTTTAAGAAGAATTTGATCTTCCATGACCACAAGTAATGATCACCCTCAAGAAATTTCACATTGACACAGTCCTATCCTCTGATATATATTCGACAGTCAGGTGTCCCTGCTCACTCCAGTGATGTCCTTCATAGCTTCGTTTTTTTCAGTCCAGTTTCCGGTCCACAGTCACCGACTGCATTTAGTCTTTTTTCATCTGAAACTGTTCTTGAGTCTTCTTCTTTTCTTTTCTTTTCTTCTTCTTTTTTTTTCCTCTCGCTCTCTTTCCCAAAACATGGACATTTCTAAAGAGTTCAGCCCAGTCACTGTGTAGACTGCCCCTCACTGGTTAGATCCAGTGAAACATTTTTGGTACAAACACAGCAGTGGTGTGTTCTTTTCAGGGCACCCGATCAGGTTGCCCACCAGCTCACTCTGTCCCTTTGTTTTGATGTTATGTGCGATCCCTTAGTTAGGATCTCAGCCCCATTTGCTGAAATGGAAACTTACCTGGGTCCCCCTTTCTGACTTTCCATGGAGGTCTCCTTCTGCAGGGCGACATGACAATAGCGTATCTAATCTTCCTTTAGTGTGTTTTGCCTCCAGTTACTATTACTTGTGATTTTATTCCAACAGCACTGCTTTGTGATAAATAAAAATAAATACTTGTTAGTAGTCCCTTTTTAAAATGAACGTGGGGTAGAGCTCTTTCTCCAGCTCCAGTGCACCTGGCTGTACACACAGGTAATCCACCCACCTGCTTTCTCCCCTGAGCAGGGCCAGTGAGCCTATCAGACGAGACACAGACACAGAGCAGTCGGAACCTGGGGAGTAAATCCCAGGTTAATGTATAGACATTTGCAGCCATTGTTCTTTCGCAGAGGCCCTCTGCTCTCTCGTCTTGGGCCTACACAGTGTGCTCAGATCGGGTGAGGCTCCCAGGCCCTGGCTGTTCCAGGTCTGTGGCAAGCCCATGGGAGGCTTATTTCCAGAGAACCCCCAGGCGGGTACCCCTGCCATTGCTCCCTTGCCCCGTCCCCAGAGGTCTCAGCCCCACCTCTGTAGGGCGCACCCTGGCTTCTGCTGACCTCCTGGAAACCCCTTGCAAAGTTTTCCTCAGTCTCTGAGTTAGGACTTACCATTTTGGTACTTTAAAAACTAAAAAACAAGACAGAGATGGAGATGTGGGGTCTGGGAGGGAGGCACCCTTGTGCTTAGAGGTTTGGAAGCGACACCTTTGGTGTTTCTTGAGTTCAGCCCTTTCCTGCAGCCCAGGAATGTGGGTTAACGGTTTTCTTCAGCTCCACTTGCCTGCGCTGCACTTTCTTGCTTTCCAGACCCTAGGAATGAGGAACTTTGCCCCTGTTCCGTGCCAGATTTCCATTTGGATTCCCTTTGTGAGTCAGGATTTGTCCAGCTTCCCCAGCTGATGGCCACAGCAGGAAGCCACTAACGGAGGCTGTGGGGACTCTTGCTGCCGAGGCTGGCTGTTGGGGCCGTCCTTTTGGACCAGGATCCCAGCATCTCAAAGTACTTTCTGACTTAGCAGCAGGTTACACCCCCTCCATTGCTCACTGCCTGCCCCTCCTCCCGCCTCACCCCGCTCCTCCACTTCAAACGGTTTCTGATTGACTCTTGTTTTGTACGTTAGGCCAGATTTAGGCCAATGTACCTGGAGAATGTTTTACCAAACATTCTTGGCTCTGTTGTTTGTCTTTTGGTTTTGGTTTTTGAGGTAAATTAAATAGCCTTTTGGTACATAGGCTCGGATCCCCCTGAGGGATTCTGGGAAGTCACTGAACACTTGCCAGGGTCCAGTTGCCTGGAGTGAGAGGGGAGGGGTGCTTGACAAAATGCTCTTCAGGCCTCCTTGCAGTTTGCTGCTGCGATAGTTACCCGTGATCTGAGAATTTAAGCTGGTTCCCTCCTTTCAGATTGAATTTTTGCCGAGGCGGGGGAAGCATTTCACGTCTATGATTCTAGAAACATCTCTTTCACCCAGATTGAGAGGGGCCAGGTTCTCTGAACGTGAACAGCAAGAGTGATGTGTTTTTCTTGCATCCTTTTCTGACCAGTATTTTGGGTTTGTGCTGTACCGAACCACACTTCCTCAAAACTACAGCAGCCCAACCCCACTCTCTTCACCCTCCAATGGTGTCCACGATCGGGCCTACGTCTCGGTGAACGGGGTAAGGATTCTCTCTGGACTTGTGGGTGGGTTGGGGGCTGCACTTGGTAACATGACCGTCAAGGCCGTTGCTGCATTTCCAACCTCAGGCTCCACCCTTCCTGAAGATGCCCCTTAGCTGTGCCATTTGCTTGCAGATGCAGCCTCACTCTTGCTCTGCCTGCCTGAGACCCACCCTCTCCCTGTCCCAACTGTGGGCTGTGCGCAAGGCCCCACCTCCTCGGAAGCCTTCCTGGTCTCCCCAGTCCGGGGCCGTCCCCTCTGGCTGACCGCAGATGTCACCTGTGTCTTCCTTGCTCCTGGAGGACAGGGTCTGCTTTGTACACACTGGAGCCTGGATTCATTGACCTTTGTGCCTCCATCCTGCCTGAGAAGTTACCTTCTTTTCTTTTTCAATATTCTTTTTTAATAGTATTTTATTGTATTCTTCTTAATGGAGGTACTGGGGATTGAACCCAGGACCTCATGCATGCTGAGCACGTGCTCCACCACTGAGCCATATACCCTGCCCCCCGTGGGAGCAAGTTTCTAACACACGATGCATATGCGGATGGCAATTGTGTCTAAAATTCCAGTTTGGAGGTTGTCTTAGTGAACGATGGTCAGTGTAACATCATTTTTTTTCAATCTTGCATTTTTTTCAAAAATTAGGAGTATGTTGCTGCTAAAATATCTGATGTTTCCTCCTCGTTTTATTATTTAATCTTTGTGGTTAATGCATCATATCAGGTACTCTGAGGTGAGACTACTCCACCTAACTCTCTGATTTTATCTCGTTTATCTGATTTTTGTCACATCTCTCCATGTTCTTTAGAAGCTACTTTTTGTGATGGCCTTGTGTGCTGTGAGAACATGAAGTGGTTCCTGTCCTGGAAATCCTCCCTGGAACAATTGCCTCCGTTCCCTCTCTGTTAAACATAGATGCGCAGCAAAACATTCCGGAGCCCACTGTGGCTACCGAAGGGGAAAGGGCTGGGCGGGAAAAATCAGGGGCTGGGGATTAACAGACACACATCACTATGTATAAAATAGATGAACAACAAGGACCTACTGTGGAGCACAGGGAACTATTCAATTTCTTGTAATAACATATAATGGAAAGGAATCTGAAAGGAAAAACTATGTAGGTATGCATATGCACAACTGAATCACTTTGCTGTACACCTGAAACTAACATTGTAAATCAACTACGTTTCAATAAAAAAATTAAAACAAAACAAAACAAAACAAAACAAAGAATATTCCGGAGCCAAGGAACCGAGCCTCGCCCCTTCCTTGCTGGGAGCTGAGTCTGGTGACATTCCACTGTAGAGAGCAGTGATCGTAGGAACCTGGCCATCTGGCCAGTGACTTGGGCAAAGGAGGCATCAGAGTGTTCTCAAGGCAGGAGAATGAATGCTGAGTTAACTGAGAGGGCTGCCCTCTGCGGACCCTCCCACCCGAGTTAATTCTCTTTCAACACTGAACCCGCAGGTCCTCCAGGGAGTCCTCGAGCGAAATACTGTGAGCACCTTGAACATAACGGGGAAAGCTGGAGACACCCTGGACCTCCTCGTGGAGAACATGGGGCGTGTGAACTACGGCAATGCTATCAACGATTTTAAGGTAGACCCAGCCTCGCTTTTACGAGTGAGGTTCAGAGGTTGACCAGACTATGCCAAAGCCACTGGGGGGAGTTTTTGTAAATCCATGGAAAAACTCTCCTAACTACATCCTTTCCCTCCAGCCCTGTTCACATAGAAGCAGTTTTTAAAAGCACACACACTTTGCCACATTTGATGAGTGAGCCTACCCTGATTTGTTTTGCAGCCTAGAAGCTGGGTTATTTTGAAGACCTGTTTTCCTTTGCAGGCGATGAGAAAGTGGAGCTTTGCAAACAGAACCCTAACCCGCATTTGAGTTCAGTCATCCTTTAGAAAGAAACAGGAGGAGGAAGCCACTGCACTGTGCATCCCCTTGGCTTAAAAAGACGCACCTAGCTCGCACAAGGCACTCCTTTGTCGACAGAGCCAGCCTGGCGTTTGGTCTGCTCTGATTTCTGGGTGTGGACGAACTGGGACAAACTCTTAAATTGTAGAAAGCCTTTACCTCGGTGCACTGCCTCTCACCTCTGTCAGTTACTCTATGCCTAGGCGTCTAGTCCGAATACGTTTTTCTAATACGCATTTTGAGAGTGTTGTTCAGCAAACATTTGTGAAACCTGTGCCCTATGCCGGTGCTCCGTGAGGCGCTTTGGGGAATGCAGAGATGCTGAGGCGCTGAGACACAGGCTCCCCGTGGGTTGCTCACTATCTGCAAGAGGAGAGAGGGCTGCGCCGAGGGAGTGAGGGCAGCATTCGCCTGGGACAGGACGGGTGTCTGGGGTGATTTCCTGACCCTCCTGGAGGCACCTCGGAGGCAAGGCAGTTACACTCTTAGGGAACGGCCATGCCAGGGCCACTTTTGTCCCCAGTAGAAATGTCCCGATGCAGTGCTCAAGAAGTGGCCTTCCTGCTTGGCTGTCCCAGACCACACTGACTTGCTGTCTCCGAGTCCCCAGGACCCAGCAGAGAGCCTGGCACACGCTGCCTGGTGAATCTGATTGAATTCCCAACTGGGCAGTTGAGGCTTGGTATTGAGAGGTGTCCTGGGACAAATGTGGGATCCCACCGGGATGGACCCTATGGGAAGAGGAAGACAGATGAGCCTGGAGCAGAGGCTTCGATGCAGTGGCCGGTGCCACGGATACCCCAGGCCCCTGACCCCGCTGGACAGATAACTTTAGAACGCAGGGCTGAGGCTCACCTTCATCCTCGCCACAGTCCTTTCTTTCCTTTAACTGTAGGCAGGACATTCTCTTGCATCCCCCATTCCGTTTACTCTCCCAAACTCAGATTTCATCTTTCCTCCATGCTAGCCAGGGCTCTGCACCAAACCCTGAAAACTGGGGATTTGGGGTCAGAAGCTCTGGCCTCCAGCCAGATCTGTGTCACTTTGAGGTGCACACAGTGGGAGTCTCATTTCCTGTTGGTGTTGTTTCATCTACCAGTTTGCTCTTCCCAGGAATTCCCAGGGCCAGACCGCTGAGTCACTGGAAGCCTCCTCCCACCCTCACTGCTCTGTTTCTCCTTTACAGGGTCTTATTTCGAACCTGACCCTTAATTCCAGTATCCTCATCAACTGGGAGATCTTCCCGCTGGACACAGAGAACGCAGTTCGTAGCAGCCTGGAGGCCTGGAATGGCCGTGACGGTGGCTGCCGCGACAAAGCCTGTGCCCACGGCTCGTCTAACCTCACAGCCCCCGCCTTCTACGTGGCTAACTTCTCGATTCCCAAGGGGATCCCTGACTTGCCTCGGGACACCTTTATCCAATTTCCTGGGTGGACCAAGGTATGTGTCTTCATGGGAAATGTTTGACTCCAGGCCACAGACATCTGGTTTTCAGGCTCTGATAACAAATCAAAACAAGCTGCTACCGGGATGCTGGGTGGCAGTCTGGGAGTGGAGGGCTTCCTGTGAGCTTGCAGCTGGTCCTCTGGTGCGGGGCCACGGCCCATCTCTGGGATGCAATGGCCTGCTTGAAGGTTCCCCATTGACCCCATTTTCGTTGACTGACAACTTCCTTTAGTGAATGACAGCTCTCCTGCTTTTCCTAAGAAAAATTGGAGTCCCCTTAGATACTGACTAGGAGGAACACTTCCTCTTTATCCTGAAGGAAATCTTGTCCAAGCAAAGGGGTGAATCTCTAGAGGAGCCTCTTTCCTCTTGTTCATGCCTAACTCCATACTCCCAGAAATCCCCACCTCCATGTGATAGTGTCCCATGCCCTGGGGGCATCCACTGCTGTCTGTAGGCTCCTCAGCTCTCCCTTGGCCACTTTACTGCCTCCCTGCTCTTTATTCTTTGAAGACATTAGCATGTCTTCCTTCATCGTTGTCTTCTCCAGTGTCTTTAAGTCCTGTTTTCATCCTCGATGAGTTTATCATGACAGTTATTCATTCAACAAACATTTTTTAGTGGTACTATGCATCCAAGCTTGTGTTCCCGGCACTAAGGATACAATAATCAATGAATCCAGATACTGTTCTTGCCCTCATGGAACATACAGTCTAGTTGGGGTGACAGACCCAAATCATATGATCATCCAAATTAAATGATAAGTGGGGGAGGGTGTAAGTCAATGATAGAGTGCATACTTAGCATGCATGAGGTCCTAGGTTCAATCTCCAGTACCTCTGTTAAAATAAACAAATAAATAAAATAAAACTAATTACCCACTCCCCCCCAGTTTTTTTCCAAATTGAATAAAAAAACCAACAAATTAAATGATAAAACTACAGCTGCAACAGGTGATCAGAAGAAATATGGGGGTTGATAATAATTGGAGCATTTGACCTCATCAGGGAGGTCAGGGAAGCTTTCCCTGTGGAAGTGATGCTTGACAAGAGATATGAAGGATGAGTAAGAATTAACATGATAGAAATGGAGGGAAACTCCTTCCAAGCAGAGGAGATAGCATGTGCAAAGGCCATGTGGTTAGAAGTGGAAATGGCAAGAGTGAGGAACTCATAAAGGACCCAAATGTATGGAACACAGAGAAAAGGCTAGAAAGTGGGTAGCAACCAGATTGGGACAGGCCAGTTAAACCACAGCAAGGTTTTGTCTCTCTGTTGAGACCCACCAGAGCAGGAGAGCAACATGGCAGGACTGTGGTGACAAGCCTCCATGACCTCAGGGTGCAGAAGGGTTGGGTGCCGGTTCTTGTGGATTCCGGGAAACTCTCAGAGGCTGGACCATAGTTTCACTGAGAGACTGGGATGTGGTACCCAAGGTGGAGATGACATCAACTATTTGATAGAGATCTGATGTTAAATTATAAGATGGAATGATAGATTGGATGTGGGGGTTTAAAGAGAAGGATGTATCTCGGATGATGACTCTGAGGTTCCAGGCTTGCAGCTGGGCAGGTGGTACCATTTATGGAAAGAAGACATTTCAAGAGAGGGCTTGGGCTGGGAGAGCATGATCCTGAGTTTGGATTTGGACAGCTGAGTCAGAGAGGCTTTGAGAACAGCTGAGAGAAGGTGCTAGAGGAGGAGGTCAGATTATGGATGGGGAATTCAGAGGGACAAGCTGGGTGGGGAAATATATGTATAAGATCATTTGCATGTGAATGGGTGAGGTCCTCTAAAAAGAGAGGACACAGAAGGAAGAGTCGAAGACCTCAGGCTGGTCTTTGAGAGACACAAACATGATGAAGAGTGAGGAGGAGAGACCAGAGAACTGGGAGGAGGTCAGCACTTACGCTGCCAAGAGGACAAGTTTCTCTCTTTCTTGAAACATAGATTATTTAGAAATGCGTTGTTTGATTTCCATATATTTGTGGGGCCCTTTTTTTAGCATGTCTTATTTTTATTGATTTCTAATTTAATTCCTCTATAAAACTTCTGGAAGGAGAAAAATCTTTATGACCTTGGGTCAGGCAAAGAGTTCTTAGATTTGAAACCTAATGCATGACCCTTAAAGGAAAAAATGGGGTAAATTGGACTTCATCAAAATTAAAAGTGTTTTGCCTTTAAAAGACATTAGTAAGAAAATGAAAATCCAAGCCACAGACTGGAAGAAAATATTTTCAAATCATATATCTGATGAAGGACTTGATCCTAGAATATGTAAAGAATTCTTATAACTCAATGACAGGAAGACAACCAACCCAATCAAAAATGAGCAAAGGAGCGGGAAACATATAGCTCAGTGGTAGAGCGTGTGCTTAGCATGCATGAGGTCCTGGATTCCATCCCCAGTGCCTCCTTAAAATACAAACAAACAAACCTAATTACCTCCCCCATCAAAAAAAAATTTTTTTAAAGTAGGCAAAGGACTTGCAAGGGCATTTCACCAAAGAAGATATATAAAAGGCTGATAAGTGAGTACATGAAAAGATGCTTAATGCTCAACATCATTAAGAAAGTGCAAATCAAAACCACAATAAAAACACCACTTCACACCTGCTAGAATGGCTTTTTAAAAAATTTTTATTGAAGTATAGTCAGCTTACAATGTTGTGTCAATTCCTGGGGTACAGTGCAATATTTCCAGTCATACAGGAACATATATATATATGTATTTGTTTTCATATTCTTTTTCACCATAAGTTACTACAAGGTATTGAATATAATTCCCTGTGCGATTAGAATGGCTTGAATAATGAAAGATGGACAGGAACGAATGTTGGCAAGGATGTGGAGAAAACGGGAACCCTCCTGCTTTGCTAGTGGGAATGTAAAACGTTACAAACGCTTTGGAGCACAATTTGGCAGTTCTTTAAGGGATAAATATATAATTAACTTAGAATTCATCAATCCTACTCCTGGGTGTTTCCAAGAGAACTGAAAACACGTATCTGCGCAAAGACTTACATGCACATGTTCACAGTAGCATTATCATGAGAGCCAAAAATTGGAAATAATTCAGAGTGTCTATCGGCTGATGGATGGATAAATAAAATGTGGAATATCCCTGCTATGGAAGAGTATTCCACAGTGAAAAGGAGCAGACTACTGATTCAGGCTGTAATGTGGATGCATCCGAAAAACATTACGCTGAGTAAAAGAAGCCAGTTATGAAAGACCATATACTGTATGATCCCATTTATATGAAACGTTCAGAAAAGGCAAATCTATAGAGACAGAAAGTACGTTAATGGTTGCCTCCGACTGACTGCAAGTGGGAATGGGGCTTGTTTGGGGGGGTGTGGAAATGTCCCCCAATTAAACAGTGGTGGTGGTTGCAAAATCTTGGTTTATGGGTTTACGGCCCAGCATAAGGTGTCTCTTGGTGACGCACCTCTGGAATTTTAAGCTCACGATCCTCTCCCTGGCCACATGTTTCGTGTTTCTGCCCCTGACTCTCTGCCTCCCAAGCCTGTTCGTTCACTTAGCTGATGACCTGAAACTCCACCATGAAGGCGCCGTTCTTCCCCGTCCTGCCTAGACGTCACCACCATTTTTTAAAAAATATTTTTTGAAGAGTGATTCATTTATTTATTTAGTTTTTTGTGGGGGAGGTGATTAGGTTTACCTATTTCTTTATTTTTAGAGGAGGTACTGGGGATTTGAACCCAGGACCTCGTGCTTGCTAAGCATGCGCTCTACCACTGAGCTATACCCTCCCCCCTACTACCGTTTTATTTTTTAAGAGCCATCAATCCCCAGGCCCCCTTGCCCTTCCACTCTGTCTCCTTGTTCTTCCTCCTTTGGGAGTGGGTCCACCATTGGCCTTTGCTGGTTCACCAGGAACTGGGCAGCCCTAGGGGGGTCTCCTCCAGCCCGTTCATCAGAGCCACGATCCCCTCCCTGTCTCCAGCCTCTCTGGAGGCCCACGGCTTACTCATCCGTCCCTGGCCTCCCTCGTCCCCATCCCCAGTTGGCCTCTCTGACCTCCACCTCTCTCCCTAACCCACCTCCCTCTTCCCCCGCCCCCTCCACTATCAGGTGTAGCTCCTTTGTTCCTCAGCTTCCTGTCAGACTTATCTCTGCCTCCACCCTCACTTCCTGCCCTGTGGGCCTGAGGAGGAAGCATCAGCTCGGGTCTGCTCCCCACCTTCTCCCTCCCTCCAGGCCAAGGTCCTGTTCTCTCACTTCCTCCTCTTGCATTTTGTCCGCCTTCCCGTCTTCTTGCCAGCCCCTGGGTTGCAGCCAAGAGGTGATATCTGGGGACTCTGGGGCCTAAAAACAAAGCTGAGCCCCCACCTGAGCACACAGCCTTGTCCTGCTCCCGTTTTCTCCCCTTCTCCCTCCTCGTGTCCTCTGTTGGTGCTTTTTCATCCCCTCCCTCTGCCCACCTGGCCATCACAGCATCAGTACTGGCCTTAACTCCTCTCTGAAACCTCCCTAGACCCTTGGTCCCCCTTGAGTGCCCTGGGCCCTGCCTGGGCTCAGCACCGTGATGCGCCATCCCTCTTAGGCTGGCCCTGGTTCCACCCAAGGGGCCGTCTGTGTCACGGGGTGCATTCTTCTCTGCCTGCGCCCTGGGCCTGCTGCCCTGTGAGTGCTTTCAGGTGAGAGGCGGGTACGAGGCCCGTTGCTGGGAAGAAAGCACGCTGCGGGGGGTGTGACCCAACACGAGTTCGTGTGCCCAACAAGGCCAAACAAATCTAAATGTCGGCGTTTGGAGCAGAGAAAGGTTTACTGCGGGGCCGAGCAAGGAGGACGGGTGGCTCATGCTTGAAAACCCCAAACTCCCCAGTGGTTTTCAGGGAGAAGTTTTTAATGGGCAAAATTTGGGGTAAGTGCTGCCAGGTGTGTGACTCACTGTGTGATTGGTTGGAGGGGAGGTAACAGGGCATTGCTCCAGGAATCTTGTGCTCAGTCTGAAGTTACCACCCTCCC